ACCGTTGCAAGATCCAGAACATGATCATCATGTTGAGTCCTGTATAGCCTTGCTCCAATGCTGTACTGAAAGATAAATCCATAGATGTGTAGTAATTCTATCCTTCTAATAGACAAGTCTAGATATGTGGACTCAAGTCTCTTATAGGAACAACTTGCTCTATTTATTTACATAATCTAGAAATTGTGATTTAAACTAACAATTATTGCCTAAGAGACTTGTGCAAGTCTAAGTCCTGTACAGAATATTGACTTGCAAAATCTAAACCACGGTTTTTCATTAACGATTCAGAAATCGGGTTTCGATTATGTAAGAATTTCTTTTCCGAATGGCAATTCCTTTCTTTGACACCTGGTGTCATTGATTTTCAGTAATCCACTCAGAAAATTTACATCACTATTTTGTTTTTAACGCCTAATGGAATTTGTTTCGGCTGGTAATTGAGACTGGTTAGTTTCTGGTTAGACTAACACAAATCTCTAAGGCAATCATTATAAGTTTAATCATATTTTCTAGATTATGTAAATATTAAGAACAAGTTGTCCCTATGAAAGACTGGGGTCCACATATCTAGACTTGCCTATTAGGAGGATAGAATTACTACACATCCGTGGACTTTTCTTTCAGTACAACCTTGGAGCAAGGCTAGTTTCTGGTTGGTACATACTGTAAGAATAATTTTTCATTGGACATGATGTAAAATCCCTGCCAAAATGACTTTTCCATCCATGTTACTAAAACATTTGAATTTCGACTGGCAACGGAAATATAAAGGAGTATGGGTTCGAAACATCCGCTGAAGCAAGAGGTCTACACAGTAGTGTCTTCAGCCCCATGCTCCCAGTTCCACTTATTTAATGGATTCCCTGAGTTGGTTGGTTGGTTGGTTGTTTAACGCCGCACTCAGCAATATTCCAGCTATATGACGGCGGTCTGTAAATAATCGAGTCTGGACCAGACAATCCAGTGATTAATATCATGAGCATCGATCCACGAAAATTGGATCGATGACATGCATCAACCAAGTCAGCGAGCCTGACCACCCGATCCCGTTAGTCGCCTTTTACGACAAGCATAGTCACCTTTTACGGCAAGCATGGGTTGCTGAAGACCTATTCTACCCCGGAATCTTCCTGAGACCAAAATCATTTAGTCAGAGCAATCAGAATGTTGTCAACCGCAGTGTACCATCGTGCGTTGAACTACGGGGAATATAAACCCGGCTTCATTGCCAACAGTACCTATTCATCCATGCGGGGTGGTGCGGTAGCCTAGTGGTTAAAGTGTTCGCTCGTCGCGCCGAAGTCCCGGGTTCGACTACCCACAGGGGTGCAATGTGTGAAGCCCATTTCCGGTGTCCCTCGCCGTGACATTGCTGGAAATGCTAAAAGCGGCGTAAAAACACACTCACTCACTATCCATCCACAAATACACCTGTAATGTAGCCCAGTGGTTCCTTTGCTCACCGCGCAGACAAGGTTCGAGCCTCTACTTCACATATTCTTGGCGTCTGCAGCAAAGCGGCGTAAGACCTTCACACTAACTCACTCACTCACAGAGTGAACTCGCGGCATCTACCATAACGCTCCTTACATCACAATATTGTCCTGTAGGACCCCACATTGGACATCTATTGATCCATGATTGTAAGGTCTTGGGGGAATTAACCTCGTAGAGCAGTTGTCTTTGTAGATTCCTCCTACTCTATAACTCATAGGTACTATCGGACAGGCAGCTTAACGAAAACAATTAGAAGTTGGTCCATATTCTTTTTTCTAGCCGTTAATACAAATAAAGATATGTCATAAACGTCAATTACGTCCACGGTTTATGGCTTTATAGTTTCATAACGGCCTAACCTAACAGACGAAGCGTTCATAAATCTCGACGCTGTCAATTATGGGACGTTACACGATTAGTATCTATGATACACAAATGGCTATACACCACCACTCGAATACATGACACTTTTTTATATAGATAACAACTTCTGTTGTTCTGTTGTTATATTCTGAAGTTGTAACCTATAAAAATAAGTGTCATGTATTCATGTTCTAACTTCTAAATATCTCTCAAAGACTTCACTACCGCTTGCTCTTTTAAAACATTTCACTTATTCTCTGAATTCTAAAAACGCTCTTTTATTCGACCTTGGTAGTGGCTTATCAAACAATTAAAACTGAAGTGTGGCTGCGGGGCTGAAAGACAGATAACCCCACGAGGGAGTGTAGAACAAATCTACATCCAATTTTAAAATAACTTTTTTTCCACGTAAAAGGATTGTTTTTTCTATTGATAGAATGCTGAAAGAGCATAGTCAGGAGAATACTTCTGTTTGACTGATGATCTTGTTCAAGTCTCAGACTTGCTAATGTTTCACCTCGGGAATCCACATAAGGGCTTGCTTACACTAACCACTTATGATGCACAAAGGTTTATTTACACAGACTCCATTATAGATGCCTAAGACACAGCACACACAACGCCCTCAGCCTTATCTGGAATCGACAACAATCCAATCCAATCGGTTCCGACTGATTGAGACATGTCGTCGTGGTATACGGGTCTGTATCACATCATATTCTTACGCCGAACTATTACACCGTTAACTCACACTGTTATCATCCATCTGACCAATCAGCCTCCGGGCATCAGTGGCGACTGGTACACCAACAAACCAAAGCAAATCCTGTCTCACTCCCTCTGGAGTCGCCTACAGCTCTTTGATTCCGACACAATCTACCCAACCCGCCCGTTTAGACATACTTTCTTCCAGCTAGACTCAAACCGTTCATGCATAGTCGGAAATACAAATAGAAAGTCAAATATAATTAACACTGACTTAGAACGGTAATCACATCGCGAGCAGAGTGACGTAATGAATTAAATTCCCATTATGTCCTTGTTGATAGCTGTGTAGATAGTTGACAGGACTCGTATGGTCAGTTGACAGGCTGTTGTTAGATTGGGGAGATAACACAAGCGTTCTGTGAGACACACTGTGGGGGCACGGGAATGCAAGTATGAGACGAAACTGTCGGAAGAAACTAGTTATACATCCAAATGCATATATATTATCTACAATCTAGGACCTACATCTAAGGATTCGTCTCCGTGAGGATGGTTACCATTATATCAATTAATGCTAATCAGTTAATGATTAAATAATTTATGTATTTTTTTTTAATGAATGGAGGTAACATTGGCCTCCCACCACCATAAATATTATCTACAATCTAGGACCTACATCTAAGGATTCGTCTCCATGAGGATGGTTAACATTATATCAATTAATGCTAATCAGTTAATGATTAAAAAAAAAAATGTATTTTTTTAAATTAATGGAGGTAACATTTGCCTCCCACCACCCCGACACACACACTTTGTAGTGTTCAAGTGTAAATATGTCGTCAGTGTTTTGGATGAGCGAAAATAGTTACATTTAATTGGTTCCTAAAACGTAAGGAAATGGCATGCAATAGCGCGATTGATCGTTTTCGGTGTATAATAATACTTTCCAAAAAGACCCCATTAGTAATAAGTTTGAATGCCTTCAGAGGTTTTTTCCAGCTGATAAAGATGCGATCATAGTTCTAACAGTTAACGTCATATATCTATATGTTTGTGGCCAAAAATAAAGTGGGTTTTGCCAACGGCATTACAATAAAATATTAATAAAGCGAGGTTCAGTTTGTTATCCTTAGACCGTTCTCGTCTTTCCAATAGAAATGATAGCAATAACGCAACGCAAATAAAGGCGCATCAATAGTTTTTTTTCCTTTGAAAAAAGCTCCCTTCATACTAAACTAGATCAATGCTATTCTGGCGTATTTCATGTACCATAGAGCGAGTGATATTGAACCCGCTTTTTGTTCTTATTTTGTATTTAAGATACGCGCCACTATGGCAGAATTGTATATTCAATTTATTTTCAAATCCTCTCAAAAGAAAAATCTAGAGAAAGCTGATTTACATTTAATATTTTCATCCAAATAAACGTGTAAATGCATAGTGCTTTGCTATCCTTGTCTGAGAAATGCAGTAATCGACGGTACTGCTTTCAGCTCGCTAAGTGTGGTGCGAATGGGAAAGGGCGAAATCGATTCGGGCGCACATAGGCCGCTGCAGAGCCGGTAAGCCTCACTTGGGCAACTATAAGAGCGAGCCAATCTCCCGTTATTTCGATACAACCCGCTACTCCTTATCCCAGCAATCAGCAAGCTCAAACGCTTACTTCTCGTATTCAGTGAAGGGAAATTGGTATTGGACGAGTTGCCTCCCTTGCGTAACATCACCGGCAATAGAGCTCCAACTGTAACAAAATTATTGTGGCATTTTATGATATATTTATGGTAAACCGTTACATTTACATCTATTTATCGTTTTATTATAAGAAATATAGACTGCGTTACCGATTCCGTGTAAGAACAGTAATTGCCTTAGTATAGATTTCTACAATAAAACCGAGATGTGGTATATTCTAGTTATACACCGGTAACTATTTCACTATGTGTGTCAATAGTTGACAAAACGTTCTAAACTGTTGCTGATCCACGTCATAAGTCAAGTCATAACCGCCACTAAATGGTGCCAGTCTTGATAGTATATTAGCACCCGTCGATCACTCGCAAATTGCAATGAACTTCAATATATAAATCGCTGGGCGGTATATACACGAGGTATTCAACACTTCCGACAATCTATGTTTTTCTCTGTCTGCGTGTTGATTGGTTACATTGGTAGGAGGGGTATAGTATTTGACAGGTGCGTGCGCAATGATATGTATAAGACAACTTTCATTTTCATCACTATTGTTTAATGAATACCTATAAGTTACATGTAGATTGATATTGGATTCGTTTTAAGCACATTTCCACACATCATCGGATAATCACAGCTTTCTAGCGTATGCAACAGACGCATTACATGGGAACTATTTTCTTCCGCCGCGCTTGACGGGCTGTGCTGCGGCTGTGAGAGGCGGCTACTTTGAGATTGAGTGTAGGGTCGATCTCAAGGCAAGTCCACATGAGTTTGTTTAGCGTGTCTTGAGGAACTCGGTGCTAGAGTGTGGTTATGGTCGTACTCTGTTGGACATGTGGTCATTTTGGCTAAATTATACCGGGAAAATGTTACTTTTCACTTTACTCCTCGCAACAGGTAAGTGAACCATTGTGCTGTAAAAAATGTAATGTCATATTATTTAATTGTTATACGCCGGCGAGCCCTTTTATACCCGTCAACAGTTCCCGTGTGCTCTGACAGATTCTGACGTATGATAATATTGATTAAGAACATATCTATGATAAACCATATTTAGCCAGCTTACCGCTACCTCTTGACATTTAATTACAAGGAGCAAGTACAATCATTATAAGTTTCAAGTGCACTGATCCCTAGTTTTTGTGTTAATTAATAAGCTGAAATTTTGTCATATTTTTACATCGAATTTTAAGACATATATTGTCAAGTCTGAAATTGAATTTGAATTGCAAAGATATCGGTTTAAGTCTTACGTTTTCAAATTGGTAAGAATGGCAATATGAATTAATGGACTTAGAGGTTTTACTAGGATTGTAACAACTAGACTTAAAGATAACAAGAGGTACATTAAATGTTTGTCTAAATAAACAGAACGCATGCTTCCCAAGTATTTGCATATGGGCTTCTTTAAGTGTGTTGACTTGTTGCGATAAACTATCGCGAGTAGTCATGATAATCTCGTCATATTGTCATGAAGACTTGTGTCTGGAGAAGGTGATTTTGGACTGCATGTAAACAGTAGTGTCAGAGTCTCTGTCCTACACGGCAAACAAGGTACTTTGGTCATAACTCGTGGATCACTAGAATATCGAGTTTCTCAAACGCTCTGCCGAAAGACATGCTGTTTATGCGGACGCTAAGTCTCACATACGTTATAAAATTTTATGACGAGCTTGTCGCGTGGCGTGTTCTTTCATCTTTCTTTTTTCTCTTTACATAAATAATAGGCGTCATTACATTCAGTTTCTGCTTCGGATCACTGATGTTTGCCCCCGTGGTGCTATCGACGTCTCATAGACCACAGAAATTTTACCATCGTCTGATTGAGGGTGGAAAATGTGCGATTTGGATTTTTTAGCCGAATTTGAAAGCGAAGCACCGAGACTGAGCACAGTGACACTGGTTAAACCAAGGTTTTTTCTGCACTGCGCATTCACAAGCCTTCCTAAAAGCGGGCACATCTTTCAACACCACGCTCATTTGCGCCGGCGCGAGCGTCTCTAGCATCAGTAATACGCTAACAGGTCTAGGACATCGGGGAAAGCCAGTCATCTTCTCTCAACCGAGATACAGTCTGCACCATCAACTCATAACATGACCGCAGTAATTCTCAATTTGAGTTAACACTAGACCCGTTAGACAAACAGATGTTGACTGCGCCGTCTTGGTCGCTGAGCAGGGTTGTAACGTGGATCTGTAGGCTATAGGAAACATATACACCGCGGATGTAGGTTTAATAACTGTATCGTTCCACTGGGAGAAATTGGCGTTAATCGTAGTAAAATATAAGTGGTACTCGGCAAGCGTAAGGGAAGTGTCTGTTATGTCGTAACGTCGAGGTATTATTCATGTTAAAGCCATAAAAGTAAAAAGCGGGGATACACTGGAGGTTATTGCATCGGATGCAACTGTATTTACAATGAGCGCAATAACAGCTGGCCTCTAGCTCAACGCTCTCTGCCAAACTTCCATTCAGACATTTTTACGAACAATTCAGCTTTTCTTCAAGATTTTGGTATTTTTTCTTCGGAAACGATTCCCAATTGCTAACAGCCAAATCGGGTGATAATTAATTCATCCAGGATGTAGCAAGTTATTAAAATCCCTTCAGCCAGACGATGGACATGAATGACGAATCTTGCACTGGCGGCCAGTCGAGCACGTGCTGCGTGGTGTCATTACCTCTGTAGACTTACGTCATCGTTACGACATCACCCGTAACACCTTGTAATTACCTTTTATGATTGTAATTCGATCGATCCGGAAATTGCATTTCAATGACAGTTTCCTCTTTGTTCACCATGAATAATCCGTTCCCTTCTACAGTCAAAAATTTGTCCTACAAGGTATTGGATTACGGCAACAGTTCGAATTTTGTGCAGAAGAGATTTTCCTGGGTCATAAATATCTCTTGTTGAGCATTAATTGTTTATTTTGCCACATTCGGACAGTGGAACCCAGACAATCGAAGCTCGATTGCACTGTGATAGGATAACTTGGCGAAAGATTTCAGAGAAAATAATACGATACCACGGTGTGGCCATACATTTTCGTCTCCCTATGTCTTCCTTTAATTGGTAGATTACCGGCCCGTGAGAGTGGCAGTAGGTATTGCACAGGTCGTACTGTGGGATATCTGTGTGTATACAGCGCCCAGACCCACCGTCCAGGCCAGTAGATGGATATTGACATTCCGACAACTAACATGTGATGGTAATTATCATCAGCTGTTGGAGCTGGTAGACGGCGAGATGGGGTACGGGGGCATGATAGAGAGCAGGCTGGACACCCCTGGAAGCGTGTTTGTCCAACTGCCGACTGCTAAATATGCGAGAACAGCGGTCTGCGAGCCAGCTATTTCTCATCTTGTCAGCTCAGATACCGCGGAGAGACTTTGCTTGTTTTGACGTAATAGTTTGGTTTAACTTAGTGCCGTGTATCCAACAGCTGGGTGGACGACTTCAAATAAATATTATTAATGGTTACTTATCCTAATGGTTAAAGACTTAGGTTGGGTACGGTGATTAGGAAAACACTTGTGTTTTAGGTTGAAACTGTGCTGCCAGGTGGTAGATTGAACATGTTTTGGAATCCATGCAATTGGATTCTAAGTGTTCAGTTTAAGTGATCCCTACTCTTGGTACAACTTTCATTTGGAAAAATATCCTTTAAGAAGTTCAAATTATTTTTTAAACAGAGAATGTTGATTGTATGTCATAGTTATCAATGCGAAATATTTCTCTGTTAATAGGATATGTATAAACATATATTCTCTAGGTAAATATTAAACATCTGTCGAAAGTCTTTGTGATGCTCCTTTGTAAAAAGGTATGTTATCTCAGGGTTTCAGCTGTTGTAATCAGAACTAGAAATGTTTTTGTACCTGCTTTTAATTTGTTTATTGATGAATCAAAGAACTGAAACTTTTTCTCAAGATAACTGACACTTTTCACACAAATCAAAAACAAGAAGCTACCCAGTTCTCTCAACCCCAGTACAGTTTTAGCTCTCCGTGCGACTTGATGTTCTTTGTTTTGTGGATTTAATTAGCAGACCTCATTTAAATGTTTCTTGTTTGAAAGTTGAAACAGCACTTGTGTTCGACTTGATTAGACAGGAGGGGCTACACCTGATAATCTTAGTGCCAGATTAGATGCAGAGAGCGATAGCTTGTCAAAGAACTAGAGAGAGGCTAGTATTTTTAGACCAAACCTGCACTTCCGTCTTTTTTTTCCATCCACTTTTTGTGGATGTTTGCTTGTTTTTCCAAACAGATCATTTCCCGACTCGAGGCCTATACTCCGCTTGGGGTTACCTCGAATACTTCCATTAGCTCGTGGGGCCCTCGCGGAGTTCTCAAAGTCATCTTAAGTAACGCAGAGTGTTTAGATGGTACTAAATACCTGTATCAGGGGATCAGCAACATAGACCATCTGTTCCTCTACAGCATGTGAAATGTTCAAAGTAACTTTCTAATATTTCATTGTAGATCACTTGAGGATTAGACAATCAGAACCAAGGTTGAAAAACGCTTTGACTGGCTTAGCCTCTGAAACCGATGATAAAGGAGAGATGTTTAACACCCTCACAGGCGTAGCTTTAAAGTGGCTCTTTGGCTACAGAATCAAAGCTTACGTGGTATTCATACATACATAGTAAGGGTAGACATATAATAAACAGTTTACCTTTAAGCTTTGTTTGAACCCAGGATCAAAGATGGCTCTCCTTCAGGCCTTTGTAAAATAATACAGTTTTGCCTAAGGGATTATTTGATGAAGGTAGGGCTGAAAATATTACCTTTGTTTTTGATAATATCTATAGCTTTTATTTCCCTGTTGTTTGTTTTGTTTCTTGGCTGAATATAATTAATCTTATCAGACCACACCAGAACGGGTTTGGATCAAAGCAAGTATATTGTGGTAAATTAATTTTTTTGTGAACAGCCAGCTGCAAAAATAATCATTTGAAACAAACAAAATTTTGTGAAGCACTCAACTACTTGTACTTGAGGTTTCGCTCACAATTATCTGATATATGATATACTCTATTTGATCATTTTCAGGTTCAGATGTTATTAATGCTTATTATTAGCATTGTACTCAATCTCATTAAAATCAGACCTCAGTTCTGAGGACATCCCATTAGGGGTCACATCAGAACGGCCTTTCATCCAACCAGTCAGAGCATCGCTTACCTGATTATGAAAGTGACAGTCGGAATGTGATTTCTAATCATGCAACCTCGAAAACTTTAACTCCGAACGATAGTTACGGGTTAAACGACTGAATCCATAGAATCTAGACCATCTATTAGCCATTCCAGAATGTTCTTTTATTCTGGTTTCAAATTTGAAATAGAGAATTTGTCAAAATATGTTTCGAAGTGTAGTCGCCAATGTTAAATTAGTGCCGTAAAGCGCGAGAAAGCTGCCTTCTGATTGGTCCTTCCATTGGGCGGTCAAAGTTAGCGCAAGGTCGGTCTGACGTGACCCGTAATGGGATGTCCTCAGATCTTTGTTTAGCGGTAGCGAGAACTAAGATCTGATTTTAATGAGATTGCATTGTACTGTACAATGGTATTTCAATGTTCTTCAAGTGTTTCGCTTGTCATGGTAACCTCAAGTCATAGAACTATGTCTGGCATAGTCATAGAAACTTTAAAAAGGTGAAGGAATTGGAGTTGGTTTTGTCTAGCTTTACAAGTCAAATCAGTTAGAGTGAGCTATGGTCCTGTTGAAAGCAGAAAGATAAGATCATGGCCTGGCCATGAGTCTTGCCAGTAACTGCCTCACCAGACCTATAGGTACTGTATAGCGACCTAGCAGGAAGGCTATATACTGTATACTGACCCAGCGGAAAGGCTATGCATAGTCGTATACAATGTGTTTGTTGTCAGTCTCAAGTCTGCCCCAGTTTGTGAATGGAATTAGGTCAGAGCGGAACCTAAGATCTAGTCTCTAAGACTGGCATTTGGAAGTGGTCTGCCTAGGTGTACAAATAAACTGGTAGATCTGAAATAGTTAACAGAGAAATTGGGTTAAGTGAAAGTAATAAGAGTCCTTTACTGACAGTGATGGTGTTTTGTGAAAGCAGAATGTCTGTGGCCCTCTTTGGTACATGTGGTTTAATTGTTGATCAAAAACATTACAAGAGTTCCTGAATATTCTTTATTTGTAAATAATTCATTTTCAATCATCGCATCCCCAAACTCTCACATTTATCGTGAAAATTATTTATTTCATTTACACTACACACAGTACCTAGCTATTAACTCAGTGTACCAAGATCCTAGCTAAATAAAAGTAAAATCCCTTTCCATAAAAGAAATCTCTGCTAAAATCAGAGTCCATTGTACAATTCCTACTCTATCATGAGCATGTGTTTATAAATATATCAAAAAGCGATGATACTGATCAGTGGCACCCATCACAAACACATGCAAGGGCAAGTCAATTGGTCAAAACATTGTCTGAACCATCCTCTATTTATTCAGCCTATTTGTCTATTATTGTATGTACATCTCTTTGTGTGGGATGTCAGACTCTTCCAGATATGTTGTGACTATCCCAATCCTGTCATAATGGCACCAATGTCTCTGTACATGCGTGTGGGGCAGTGGGCGGTGGGTTGGTCCAGATGATAGTTTGATTGCTTGGCATTCAGCCGGGTTGAATCTCAGAATGGGTAGATTTTGAGTAATCCTTGGTTTCAACTGTTACATGGCTGTAGTTTTGTAGAAAATAGTTACACCCATTCATCTGACCGAGTTGGTATTTGCTTCGCTCTAAAATAAGGAGTGAGTGAGTATGATTTTACGCCGCCTTTAGCAATTTTTCAGCAAAATTAAAGCAGGAGACGCCAGAAAGGGGCATCACACATTGTAACCATGTCGGGAATTGAACCTGGGTCTTCCTCGTGATGAGCGAACGCTTTAACCACTAGGCTACCCAACCACCCCCAACAAAAAGATCAGCCTATATGACTAGGGGTGCAATAATTCTTACAGCAATATTAGGTAGACAGACTGAACATACTTTCTAGAAACTGTGAACTGGGGTGAGACCCGGTTAGAACTTCTCATGGCAAATAGCATGACTGATGATATTTTTTATTTAAGCTGTACTTGGCATCCTGTGCTATGATTGTGTCCTGTGGTAATATATGCTGTATTTCTGTTTCAGTGGTCCTTGAATGTAATGGCCAGGACACGTTTTACTTCAGCACCAAGCCCCGGGACTTGGATGTAGTGGAAGAGACAGAGGTGAAATTAATGTGTGACGTGTCCAATCGGCGACACATAATCTTTCAGTGGATAGAAAATGGCAAACAGATTGAAAACACTACGAGACGATTCCAAGAAGATAGTAATATGCGGATTTTACGTGTATCCCGAGATGAGGACATTGGCCCCTTTCAGTGCATAGCGACTAACGTGACTACGGGATTCTCGCTTCAGAGCCTGGAGGCACACCTCAATATTCAATGTAAGTACAATTTACTTTTTGTATCGCCTTCTCACACCCCACTCAGTATTTACAGTTATCACGTTCCATGGGGACTTCAGTCAGCTTCGTCCTTTCCCACACATGGTTTATTGTGAAGGAATATTTACTCCAGATCTAACATGTCGAGGAAGTTTAAAATCTGCATTTGAAGTGGCTCTTGACCAAGAATTGAAATACTTGGCCTCATAAGATGCATTTCAGTGCTAGCGATGCGAACAAGGTGTTGTTTGCACCCCATGGACAATATGAGGTATATTTTGTATGTAACAAGGTGGGATGTATCACCATTCTGACTCAGCTGTATGTACAAGTGTCAGTCATTCACTAGCTTCATACAGAGTGTGCCTGTTTATACAGGGTACAAGTGTTGGAACATGGCGATTGGATAATATATTTTATAGATCAGACTATGGTTGACTAATAAGAATTTATTGTTGATTTTCTAAAAAGAATATCTTGAATGAAATTAAAACGAGTCTTAAGTGTAGTAGTGTATTGAGCTGAAAGGATATTTAATTTGTGGGATTGCTCTATCGTTAATACTTTACATCTCTGACATGTTTGTACAGTAGTTTAAGGACACTATGGGGTTAGCTCAGTGGTTAGGTTGTTTGCTCATGACACCGTTGTATTGAGTTCTTTTCTGGAAGTAGGTAGTATTTGTGTATCTCACTCAAGGTGTTGATGCCGAGATGTAGCTTGATGACTGCTAAGCAATGTTGGGGCACGGGTGTCCCAGTCGTCTAAGGCGTCGCAATTCGCTGTGCAGAGTTGTGGCCCTGTTCACACCAGGAGCCTGTGATTGTGGGTTTGAGCCCTGGTTATGTTTCTAGGTTTTTCGGCACCATACCCATGCTTGTGGCTTTAACCAAAGTCTGAGACCTGCATCACTTCTGGCTTTCCTCTCACATTAAGCTGACACATCCACTGTTTGAATATTGTATGTTTTATTTACATTGGGCAATTTAACTAGTGAATTTCTTGGGCTCAGACATAGCTCAGGATCAATACTTTTATAAGCGCTAAAGTTGGGTATGTTCATTTTCGTGTAACAGCCCGCAAGACACAGTCAATACAAATATTATCTGTAAGGGGAGTTGATAGCCTTTTAAGTTTTACTGAAGCAATACTTGTTTGGTTATCAGATTGACAGACTGGATTGAAAAGACAGAAATAAAACATAAATGAAAATGATGAAAAATTAATTTTCAATGTGTTTTGATGGATTAGAAAAATAACAAGATGTCATGACAAGATACAAAGAAACTGCCATTGTCTTGAAGCAACAACTGATGAAATACACAACATGATGTCTAGCCACTGCAAGCATATGGTGAACTTTAGTAAATAGCTGTGATGGTTCAGATAGTAATATCAGTTTTAGCTTTTAATTTCCACTTGAACTTACGTAACGTCATGTGAAATAAACAAAAATATTCAGATACGGGGTAGACCGCATCGGTCAAATCCAACTAGTTTGCAGCTCATTTCGGACTTGTAATTCATAGGAGATATTAACCAGTCTCTGAACATTTTAACTTTGTGACTAACAGACCAATAGCTGTGTATCCCTCAGATATGTAAATTTGTTTTTTATTTTATTTCAATCTATCAAAGACAGCTTGTGTGGTAAAAAATCTTTCAAACATAAACTAAAGCTTGCCCTAAATATGTCTGATAATGGTGGATCCTTGTCAGCCTTGCTGCAATACGAGCCTGTGCAGTAGTAAACGTGGTTGATAGCCATCAAAGGTTTTACTACACGTACCCTAGAACATGGCAGGCATTATATCACATATGTGACTGAAATGTGTGACACATGCACCGGCTTTATGGCTCTCCCAGTCCGTGTGGGTAACTGGCCTGCCTACCATGAATGAAGACTCACATTGCCCAAATTGTTTATGAAGTGAGACCAATGATAATGGGCCATCCAGCTAGGTTGTTACAAGGTATAATGCCCCGATCACAGCCCAGGTCAGGAAGTAACACTGCTGGCCAATGATCTCCCACTGGCCTGTGAAAGTACTGGCAATATAACTTAATACATACCTGGACATTTTAGGAGGTATGCTGTATTAGATCAGCATGGAGGTGATATGCTTAAATACCCTAGAATAGAAAGTGTCTGGGATCACGTGATTTGTGTGTTCAGAACAGTCTCTGGTTTTTACTGTACTTATGTTTCATGAACCAAAGGAAGTACATTGGTTTGACTAAATTTGTGAATAAATAGGTGTAGGCTTAAAAAGTGAAAACTAAAACATACTACTCAACGTTTGCTAAGGACCACAAAGATGACTATTTTGGTCCTTAGCAAATGTTGAGTGGTATATATAAAGTAGAATCTGATGTTCCTACTAATGAATTGCAATATTTTTTATTATTGTTTAAGGCCACTGTGAGTACTACTCCAGCTATATGTCGGCCATGTAAAATACTATTGTTGCTAGTCAATCACTGGATTGTCTGGTCCAGACTCGATTATTTCCAGACCTCCGTCATATAGCTGGAATATTGCTGAATGAGGCGTTAAACAACAAACCAAACCCAAAAGCTATTGTTACTAAACTGTACACTGGCATATATCGGTGTAACTTCAATCAATAACATTTTTAGTTTTAACACCATTTTTTCAGACACTTTACTTGTTAAGAACACCCTCGAAATAGTTACTTTGTGATTTGGGTGTAATATCCTGGATCCGCCTCCGTAACTACCGAGTTGGTTTGGCCCAAGTGTCATCTTGTGATCCTGTAATGTGTCTCTGTAATGGAAAGTCTTATCAGTCATGACCATGACGCTTGTTACAAGCTTGGCTTAATTATCCCGATGCCTGAAGTGTATGCCCATGCTTCATGTATATTTGAACTGTGGTCGGATGGCTTTACGTGACTGAGTGAGAGTCAAGCTTCACTGAACATGCCAAAGGTGAAAGGGTGACTTGAGGATAAATTTGATTAAGAAATTAGATATTGAGATGTGTTTACGTAATTAGCTGGAATTGAATATGTTGATATCCTGAACTTTAGGGTGTTAATTGCTGATTTAGTTTGGCTGTTTGAGAATGTTTGATCTATTTGTACCTTGTTTATCGACACTAATGGTTTGGTAGGTACTTCATCAATATATAATGAGATCATTGAATTGAGCTGTGTTTTCACTGCAACATTCCGTCACTAGGACTTGAGAACCTATATATAAACATCAAATATTAACATCTGATGTTTCTAAATAGACTTGCCAAAGGGTCATAACAAGTTGTGATACATTCATCCTGTTCAAAGGAAGGAAATTAGTGCTGTTGAAACACTGAAGTTCCTTGGAAGCATAGATACCGGTTACCATGTCTACCAGAACTCAAGTAGAGGTATACTTATGGAGGTAAATATAGAACTCTTATATAGATCAATATACAACATCCAAGACGAAAAATGAAAATTCTTTTCTTATGTCAGATCAATCTGATAGCACATATGAGGAATATAATTTGTTTATCATAGGGTGAATACGCTATTTATCAACTAGCAGGCCAGTGATAAGAAAAGACACCCTGGGGAGGTGAGCTAAATGGTGATGGACTGGATGTGGAAGCAATGCCTGATAGCTGGATGGTGTTGAAGACGTACCCGATGAGAGCCCAATAACAACAAATTGATGTAGTGGGGAGAGGGAGAGCCCGTTCATCATATGATCATCTATAAACAATATGTCAGCCTATCAGCGGGCAGCCATATTGGATGGGTGTTGAATGCTGGGATAGGTTACCTGTAGGGGCAACATGGGGATACAGACATGAGGCTGATAATCGGACAGGGAGCTCTAGATAATTATTTTGACATTTTCGTTCGGTGTCGTATGGCTTGTATCTATTTGTGAGGATTTCTGATGTGCGGAACCATTTCAAACAAGCTGACACAAGGTGGTGTGATCGGTAATGATATGCATGGTTAATATGACACTAATATTAGTTCACCTCAAATCCGTCATCAATTAAGAATCTTTTAAAACATTGATGACAATGATAAGGACGATGATGGAAATTTTTGTAGCTATTGTGTTGCATCTGATTTCACCTTGAAGATTTAATTTAAAAAATTAAAACTATTTCATGCAATAAATTCTATAATGTTTGTTACTGATATTTTGGATTAAGAGGAGTGCTTATTGGTTGGAACAGGATGTAAGAAACAGCTTTATACATGTAACAGTGGCTGGAAGAGTATTGACGCTATAGATTTATAGATGTGGTAGAAATTGAGAAGGTTGAACATCCTGCATTAATTGTACTGCCTGATTGTATTTGACTTTGTATTTAGCAGCTCGGAGAGTGGGTTAATCCATCTTACCTCACTAATCCCTATCACACCACGCAGGCAGAAGGACGTCAGCAGATTAAACTTGGGTAGGCCCGAGGCAGGGACTACCGTAGTGGTCATCACATTGAGCAATGACATGGCTGCAGGCTGCCACAGAGTGGTTACAAACTAATAGCTTGTTTAATTTGTCCGCGAGCATGTGAATGTCACCGAATGAGTCAAAGCGCGATAACATGGGGGTACTAACAGAATTCTCACACTGGTCATTTGGGTCCAGCCAGGTGTTAAACTCAATCCTTTGATGTAGAGTTTGTTTAATTATTATCATGGTGATGCATTCTTGTAGTATTAGTCCTATTCAGGTTCTTTATCAACATTGTTGTAAATATGTCGAAAACAGGATTAGAACGCTTGTGATGTAGTTTATGTGTCACATCTCGGTAAATAGATATGTGTTAGCCAATTCAGCCTTCCATCGCTCTACGTCCGCCAGGAGCTTCAAAGTGTTTCATCATTTAAGCAAATCAGGTGCAGTTTTCAGGCCCTTGTGCCAATGGGATCAGCGTCTTGAGGGCCTGTCTTCAAAATTCTGGACAAATATAGGATGATTAGCAATTATTGAATCAATATTTCACACATTGAGAATGCATAATGTACAAG